AGGAGGAAGGATCGCTGGAGCCCAGTAGGTCGAGGCTGCGGTGACCGGGAGCGGCCACTGTACTCCAGTCTGGGCGACCGAATGAGACTCCAACTCAAAAAAAAAATAATAATAATAATTTACACAACTAAGCGAAGTGTTAACATCAGAAACTTTCTGAATGAATGTGATGCAAACTGTGAAATTTTACCTGAAATGTATCATTGGCATTGTTGATGCTTTTACTATTGGTTTGTTTGTTTGATAGGTTCAAGTTGTTCCAGTAGTCGACAGAACTTGACGTTGTCCCTAAGTTCCACCAAAGACAAAGGCTCTCAGTCTTTTCACTTTGCTAACGGAGGACTTTTCAGCAAATACTCAGGCTCTGTGCAGAGTTTGGGCTCCGTAAGTGTAGAAAAAAATATTATTCTGTATGTTGTTTATATATCTCTGGTGATCTATTAGCTTAAGTATCATGCACTCACAGACCTCAGTGTGAACAGATCCTTAAGAAATCATCTTCACCTGCGCCCAGCAGGTCGAGGCTGCAGTAGCTGGGAGCGTGCCACTACACTCCAGCCTGGGCGACAGGGTGAGACTTTGACTTAATAAATACATTTAAAAAAAAGTTAGCTGAGCGTGGTAGCTCAACCTGTAATCCTAGCACTTTGGGAGGCCAAGACGAGTGGATTGTCTGAGCCCGCGGGTTCGAGACCAGTCCGCGCAACTTGGCGAAACCTCGTCTCTACAAAAAATATAAAAATAAAAATTAGCCAGGTGCAGGTAGCGCATGCCTGTAGTTGCGACTGCTTGGAAGGCTGAAGCTGAAGGATCACTGGAGCCCAGCAGGTCGATGTTAGGGGCCACTGCACTCCAGTCTGGGTGACGGAGTGAGACTCCAACTCAAAATAAATAAATAAGTCAATCAAGGACTAAAAAAGAAAAAGAAAGAAATCATCTGATTGAACCTGTTTTCTTCAGGCAAATGAAGTATCCTTTTGCTGAATATTTGGCCAGGTTTTGGTTTGGTTTGGTTCCAAGTTTCTTTGAGTAGATGATCGGGCCTATGGGCTCTCTCCCTCTCTTTTTTTTTGAGTCAGAGTCTCACTGTTGCCCAGGCTGGAGTGCAGTATCACGTTCATGGCCATTGCATCCTCGACCTGCTGGGCTCGGATGATCCTTCTGCCTCAGCCTTCTGAGTAGCTGGAATCACAGGCACGCACCACCACGCCTGGCTGATTTTTTTAATTTATTGTGGAGATGAGGTCTCGCCATGTTGCCCAGGCTGGTCTTGAACCCTGGGCCCAGGCAATCCTCTTGCCTCTGCCTCCCAAAGTGCTGGGATTGCAGGTGTGAACCATCTTGTTTAGCCTACCCACGGGCTCTCTTGAGTGGTGCTGTTGTGGGAGATCACTTCAAAACCAGATGGTCTGTGGGAAGCTGGACGCTGTAGCTGGACGTCATGCGAGGCCACGGTAATCGCTTGATGAGCCCACTTGGGAAAGGCATTTGGCCACGAAGCCACGGATGCGGTTCCTTCTCTCCTGAGTTTTTGTTGTGGGCAGATGCTGAGCTCCTCTTTTGACTTACAGTCATGCCTCCCTTAATGGCTGGGCTGAGTTTTGAGAAATGTTTCCTTGTGCAAGCGTCATAGCGTGGTCTAGTCTATTGCTCGATCCTGCACACCTGTACAGCATGTTACTGTACTGAGTACCATAGGCCACTGTAACTCATTGGTAAGCATCTGTGTATTTTTTTTTTTTTGAGTTGGAGTCTCACTCCATCGCCCAGACTGTAGTGCAGTGGCATGCTCCCGTCCACTGCAGCTCGACCTGCTGGACTCCAGCGATCCTTCCAGCTCAGCCTTCCAAGTAGCCAGAACTACAGGCGTGAGCTACCATGCCCAGCTAATTTTTGATTTATTGTAGAGATGAGGTCTCGCCATGTTGCCCTGAGGGTCTCAGGCAATCCACTCACCTGGCCCTCCCAAAGTGCTGGGATTACAGGCTGAGCCGCTGAGCCTGGCCTGTGTATCTGAATATAGAGAAAGCACAATAAAAATGCAGCATGGGTTTTATGAGCCCACCGTCGTGTCTGGTGGTCTGTCATTGCAGTTGTGTTGACTGTAGTACACTTGAGACAGGAGAGCCATGTGGAATCTCCTAGTGGGCACATGAAAACAGGGGCCTGGATTTCTCAAGAGAGGACCGGGTTGGAGTTGGGAGCTTGACAAACATCTGCTGAGAGGCAACTGAACCGGCTCCGTGGACCTTGCGGGGAAGAGCATGAACAGAGACGGGGGGGGGCTTTTCAGTCTCAGTTACTGTTGAGCGCAGGTCCGCCTTGCAGGGGCTCTACAGGAGAAATAAGCCGGCCGCCTACATCAGAGTAGGTGTGGGTGTAATTTGGAAGTAAATCCTTGAGACGGTAAACGAAAGTAAAGTCACTGCCTGGTTTTTGATGGCAATACGTGATTCATATTCAGAATATTATTCTATGTGTGTGTTTTCGAGCACATAGAGGCTCAGCATATGTAGGGGCATGTGACTTCTAAGTCTGAATAGAATCAGAATTCCTTCTTCAGGTAGAAATTACATGGGTTATTTTACCAGTAATACAATCCGTGTAAATAATTTGTAAACATGAAAGATCACAACATACTATCACAGCAGAGATTTTGAAGTAACTTCTGTCCCTCTTAATTTTAGGTCCAGAGTGTCAACTCTTGTCATAGCTGTGCTTGTGGCAATTCTAATTCCTGGGACAAAGCAGATGAAGATGATGTGAAACTTGTTAATATTCCTGTGACCACTCCTGAGAACTTGTATTTAATGGGTAAGAATAACTTGATGGAGTTTTGCGATATTGTGCTCATATTTAATTTGAAACTGAAATACAGTGAATTGTCCTAAGAGAAATAGCTGCAATCTTAAAATGTTCTTATATCTGTTGAATCTAACCTACATAGCATACCCCATTGTATTAGTTTCCTGCGGTTGCTGTAGCAGGTTACCATAAACTTGGTGGCTGAAAACAATAGAAGTTTATTCACTCTGTTTTAGAGACTGGAAGTCCAAAATCATTATCACTGGATTAAAGTTAAGATGTCAGTAGAGGCCGGGCACAGTGGCTTACACCTATAATTCCAGCACTTTAAGAGGCTGTGGTGAGAGAATTGCCTGAGCCCATGGGTTTGAGACCCGCCTGGACGACTTAGTGAGACCTCCTCTCTACAATAAAATAAAAATTAGCTGGACATGGTGGCATGTAACCGTAATTCCAGCTACTTGGAAGACTGAGGCGGAGGATCACCTGAGCTCAGCTGGTCGAGGTTGCAGTGGCTGTGTGTATGCCACTGCACTCCAGCCTGGGCGACAGAGTGAGACTCCAACATACACACACACACACAAATGATATCAGTAGAGCCGTGCTCCCTCTGGGGGCCTGGGAGAGAGTCTGTTTCTTGTCTCTTTCAACTGTTAGTGGCTACCAGCATTCCTTGGCTTTTAGCCACATCACTCCAATCTCTGCCTTTGTTTTCACATCACATTCTCTCCCGTATATATATATGTGTGTGTATATATATATATATATATGTGTGTGTGTGTGTGTGTGTGTGTGTGTATATATATATATATATATTTTTTTTTTTGAGTTGGAGTCTCACTCTGTCACCCAGACTGGAGTGCAGTGGCCGCTCCCGGCCACCGCAGCCTCGACCTGCTGGGCTCCAGCGATCCTTCTGCCTCAGCCTTCCAAGTAGCTGGAATTCCAGGCATGCGCTACCATGCCCGGCTGATTTTCTGATTTATTGTAGAGATGAGGTCTCGCTGCCCAGGCGGGTCTCGAACACGTGGGCAATCCACTCACCTCAGCCTCCCAAAGGCACGGGATTACAGGCTGAGCCACTGAGCCCGGCTTCTCCTGTATATATTAAATCTCCATATGCTTCTCTCTCATAAGGACACTTGCTTAGAGTTAGGTAATCTAGGGTAATCTCCGCATGTTGGGATTCTTAATCCCATTGCCAAGACTCTTTTATCTTACAAGGTAACATCTACAGGTTCTAGGAATTAGGACCCGATGTCTTTGGGCAGCCATCGTTCAGCCTGTTATGCTGACCTAATCTAATCGGTTGATTTATAGAATGCATCTATCGGAATCCACTTTGCTTAATCTGTCCTGTCTAGCTGTCATGTGTATTCTTCTTATATCCAGAACACACTTCAAACAGAAAGACTCTCTGTGTTTCACATCTCAGAATTCCTCCTGGCTTGACCATGAGCAGGTCTGGGGAGCCTCTCTGGAGCTGCGGAAAAGAACCAGTGAGCTTGTTGCTGAGTCAGGAGATGCAATTGCTTTTCCCTGTTCTTCTCAACTCCATTTCAGGCTACGTTCCTTTTGATGGAAATGAATATTAAATAAAAAACCAAACCAAGAAACTTCGGTGTGGCCCTAGCCAGTGAGCTGGAGCGGGGGTGATGGCTTGGCGGAAGGACTGTGAGCTTCCAAATGTGTTCCCACACTCTGCAGTAGATGGAGATGATGATTGTATCACCTCCGGCAGGCATGCCCATGGGGAAGGAAGGAAGCGTGGTCCTCTCACCACCTTTTCCAAGGTCTCCAGAGAATTAAACTCACTGTATTTCTAGAAGACTCTGTGTCTAGTAACTTATACTCACAGCTTCTGCTAGAATATTGAAAGTTCAAATGCAGGAGAGAGCAAAACTAGATATGCTACGGGGGATCTTCATATCGTAGGATTAAGATGGGTGGGAGCCGGAGGCTTCCCTGAGCCTAATCACCCATCTGTCTTGATCCCTTTTACATAATTGAAGACAATAAAAAAAGGTTGGTGATGTGTGTTTGACTTCCTGTTACAAAACTGATGCTTGTGGTGCTCGGAGGCGTGACCTATAGTGAGGTGGGACACGGTACTTCCTAGGATGCAACTTTTGTCTTTGGACAGTTCTGCTAATCTTCCCGTGTTCAGCCAGAATCATGAGATGTATAGAGAAGGGAGAGTATGAGAAAGAAGGAAGGAATTAGAGTTGTGTAGCTTGGAGAAAGCAGTAGAGATAGTGACATAATTGTCTTGTGTGTGCATACATTTTTTTAGGAGGAAGATCAAAAAGCTGTTCTTTGCTACAGAAAACTGGGCAAGAAGGAAAGGTCTTCATTGTACTGAAGGCAATTTTATGTGTATCGGGTTGTAGGTTCTACTAATAATTGAAGAAGTGACCTTAGAGGAGAGGTATTCTTGGCCTAACATATCTTAAAAACATCGGAGCATGACTAGTCCAGATTCTTTTTTTTTTTTTTTTTGAGTTGGAGTCTCATTCCATTGCCCAGACTGTAGTGCAGTGGCATGCTCCCGGCCACTGCAGCCTCGACCAACTGGGCTCCGGTGATCCTGCCACTCAGCCTTCCAAGCAGCTGGAACTACAGGTGCATGCTACCACGCCCGGCTAATTTTTGATTTATTGTGGAGAAGAGGTCTTGCCAAGTTGCCCAGGTGGGTCTCAAACCCACGGGCTCAGGCAATTCACTCACCTCGCCCTTCCAAAGCACGGGATTACAGGCTGAGCTACCGAGCCCGGCTTGTCTGGATTCTTAAGCAACTTTTTTTGTTTTGTTTTGTTTTGTTTTGAGTTGGAGTCTCACTCTGTCGCCCAGACTGGAGTACAGTGGCACCCTCCTGGCTACCACAGCCTCGACCTGCTGGGCTCTGGCGATCCTTCCGCCTCAGCCTTCCCAGTAGCTGGAACTACAGGTGTGTGCTACCACACCCGGCCAAGTTTTTTTTTTTATTTATTGTAGAGATGAGGTCTCACCATATTGCCCAGGCGGGTCTTGAACCCGTGGGCTCAGGCAGTCCACTCACCTCAGCCTCCCAAGGCGCGGGATTACAGGCTGAGCCACTGAGCCTGGCTTAATTTTTTATTTTTATTGTAGAGATGAGGTCTCGCCAGGTTCCCAGGGTGGGTTTCAAACCCTCAGGCTCACGCAATCCACTCACCTTGACCTCCCAAAGCACTGGGATTACAGGCTGAGCTACCAAGCCGGCCTTAAGCAGCTTTTAAAGATCTTTTTCTTTTATATGTGTAGAAAAGTTGAAGTTTTAATAATGTTGTTGTGTTTGAACCTCATAATTATTTTGGTACACTTTCTTTTATTTGGGAAAAACAGGCACCTATTCACCTTTTTCTCCACAAAAGCTTACACTCAGCAGGGAGATGAAATTCCTACTTGGACTGTAACAAACTCTTGGTGAGTCCATTCAGAGCTTTGCAGGTGTTTAACTCTGGCCCACCAACGTATCCATCCAAATCAGCAGGTTGGAATCATAGTGGCTTAGGACGCCCTTTCGGGGAAACAAGAAGGAAAAGACCTCACTGTGGGTCTATGCTATTATCTTTCCTCCCGGGTTTACTTTCTCCTTGTGAGAACTTACCAGCTGGACAGCTTCTTGTAAGCTAATTTCTTCTATTTTCCCATCAGTTTTCTTTTTAGTTTAGGGGGTTATTTTGAAACATAGTTGAATGATTATACAAATTAGCTATTACTTTTGAACCTTTGATGAATTCATTACACTGGTTTTTTGGGGTTTTTTGAGTTGGAGTCTCACTCTGTCACCCAGGCTAGAGGGCAGTAGCATGCTCCTGACCACCGCAGCCTCAACCTGCTGGGCTCAGATGATCCTTCCACCTCAGCCTTCCAAGTAACTGGAACTCAAATGCACACCACCATGCCTGACTAATTTTTGTGATTTATTGTAGAGACGAGGTCTCGCCAAGTTGCCCGGGTGGGTCTTGAACCCCCCAGGCTCCCAAAGCCCAGCCCATGATGTTGTTTTAGATAAATTCTGGGCACTGTATGTGTTTGAGTTATGTTTTTTAAAGAATGAAAACATACTGGCCATTTTGTCTCTGACTTTGGTTAGCTGGAACCATAGGCTGAGAATATGTTGGGAGACAAACATTCCACTGTGAAATGATGTGAGTATGAAGTGATTCTTTTTCTGAGATGGAGTCTCACTCTGTCGCCCAGACTGGAGTGCAGTTGCAGTGGCATGCTCATGGCTACCACAGCCTCGACCTGCTGGGCTCAGGCAATCCTTCTGCCTCAATCTTCCGTGTAGCTGGAACTACAGGCACACGCTTCCACGCCCGGCTTATAATTTTTGATTTATTGTAGAGACAAGGTCTCACCAAGTTGCCCAGGCTGGTGTTGAACCCCTAAACTCAGAGAGTCCTCTTGTCTTGGCCTCCTAAAGTGCTGGGATTATAGGCTTGAGCCACCACGCCTGGCCGAAGTGATTCTGTAGTGTCAGAATTCCAGTTCGACGGTGCCGGTGGTGGTCATTGTGTAAAGCACTTCAGACCCCAGATACTTTCATTCTGGCCCTGGTCAGCTCATCTTCAGTTGGCTGTTCTTCACCCGCAGGCATGGAACTGTTTGAAGAGGCGCTGCGGCGATGGGAACAAGCTCTCTCCTTTCGCAACAGACAGGCGGAAGATGAAGCCTGTGGCTCCATTAAACTGGGTGCAGGAGACGCCATTGCTGAAGAAAGTGTGGATGTACGGTGATTTATTTGAGAATGGTCTTCATAGTATTCAAAGAATAAAACTGTTTTTTGTTTGTTTTTTTGAGTCAGAGTCTCGCTGTGTTGCCCCGGGTGGAGTGCAGGGTCCATCGCAGCCTCGACATGCTGGGTTCAGGCGATCCACCTCAGCCATCCAAGGAGCTGGAACCACAGACACACACCACCATGCTTGGCTAATTTTTGATTTATTGTAGAGCCAAGATCTCGCCATGTTGCCCAGGCTGGTCTCAAACCCCTGCGCTCAGGCAGCTCTCTCGCCTCTGCCTTCCAAAGTGCTGGGATTACAGGCACGAACCACCGTACCTGGACCAAAAATGTTTTTTAATGTTTGTTTTATGTGGTATTTATTAGAACTGCTTTTTTTTTTTTTTTTTTTTGACGTGGAGTCTCACTCTATCGTCCAGGCTAGAGTGCAGTGGCATACTCACGGCCACCCCAGCGCTGATCTGCTGGGCTCTGGCAATCCTTCCACCTCAGCCTTCCAAGTAGCTGGAACTATAGGTGTGCGCTACTACATAGAACTGTATTTTTCCCCACTTGTGACTATGTGGGGAATTTCTCTTTGAACTTTTTCTATTCGGTTAGTTGTTAAATACAAGATTTTTTCATTCATCTAGTTTCCTGACTTTCCTAGGATATATAGAATAAGTAGATATGATTTCTTTTATTTTTCTGAGCTGGAGTCTCATTTCATTGCCCAGGCCAGAGTACAGTGGCTTGCTCACAGCAACCCCAGTGTCACCCTGCTGTGCTCTGGCGATCCTTCCGCCTCAGCCTTCCAAATAGCCGAATGACAGGCGTGCGCTACCTTGCCCGGCTAATTTTTTGGTTTGTTGTAGAGATGAGGTCTCGCCATGTTGTCCAGGCTGTTCTCGAACCCGTGGGCTCAGGCAATCCCCTCACCTCAGCCTCTCAAAATGCTGGGGTCACAGGCTTGAGCCACCATGCCCGGCCAGATATAATTTTTTTTTGAGTTGGAGTCTCACTCTGTCGCCCAGACTGGAGTGCAGCGGCCGCTCCCGGCCACCGCAGCCTCGACCTGCTGGGCTCCGGCGATCCTTCTACCTCAGCCTTCCAAGTAGCTGGAATTACAGGCTTGTACTACCACACCCGGCTGATTTTTTGATTTATTGTAGAGATGAGGTCTCACTGCCCAGGCAGGTCTCAAACCTGCGGGCTCAGGCCATCCATTCACCTCAGCCTCCCAAAGGCATGGGATTACAGGCTGAGCCACCGAGCCCGGCTCAGATAGGATCTTTTAAAGGAATTTTTTTTAAGGAGACGGAGTCTTGCTGTTTTGTCCAGGCTGGAGTGTGGTGGCTTTTCACAGGAGCGATCCTGTTGCTCTACAGGCTCAAACTCCTGAGCTGAAGCGATCCTCCTCCTTCAGCCTCCTGACTAGCTGCTCGGCTTGGACTCTGCAAGTCTGGCTTTGCTTTGGGATTAATTAAGGGCCTTTCGATTCATAAAAATCATACAGAGGTGGAGCTGAGCGGTCCTCACTGGTCATGGAGGTAGGCTAGCAGTTCTCAAGTTTGAGAATGCCTCGGACTCAGCTGGAGAGCTTGCTCAAACGCAGATCGGGGGCTCCACCCCATGGGTTTCTTCTTCAGTAGGACCAGGGGGAGAGCTCAGGAACCGGCATTCCCAACAAGCGCCCGGCTGCTCATGATGTTGCTGATTTGGGGACTTACTTCGAGAACCCCGCTCTAGTGTGGCTCGCTCAGGCAGTCCTTGCGCTTCAGCCTTCCAGGTAGCTGGAGCCACAGGCACGCACTTGGTTTGCTGTAGAGACGAGGTCTCAGCAAGTTGCTCTGGCTGGTCTCGAACCCCAGGGCTCAGGCACTCTTCTCCCCTCAGCCTCCCAAATTTTGTGGATAAGCAGCAGCCCTGAGAACTGAGATGATTTTGCCCAAGACACAGCTGGGAGCCATGACCCCGACCTCTGCCTCAGGGCTCTTTCCTGTCACCAGCCATTCTCATATCCTCGCTTTCCCTGCCTTTCGTGTGATGGGAAAATGTGCAGGGTTTTGACATTGGGATGTCATCTCTGCTGTGTGTTTCTTCCCCGTAGGACATCATTAGCGCTGAGTTTATCCACAAACTCGAAGCTTTGCTGCAGAGAGCCTACCGTCTGCAGGAGGAGTTTGAAGCCACCCTTGGGGCGTCGGACCCAAGCTCCCTTGCTAATGATGTCGGTAAGAGGGATACTCTACCTCGTTTCTATGAAATGTATGGTTTTCGTCTTTCTTTGAATCTAATTTAATTTTATTTTTTGGGTCGGGGTCTCACGACGTGGCCCAGGCTGGAGTGCAGTGGCACAATCACGGCTAACTGCAACCTTATCCCAGACTCGGGCCATTCTTCTGCCTCAGCCTCCCGAGTAACTGGGCTGCAGGTAGGGGCCATCACACCCAGCTAATTTTTTTTTCTTAACTTTTGGTAGAGACAGAGTCTTGCTATGTTGCCTGGGCTGGTCTCAAACTTCTGGGCTCAAGCAATCCTCCTACCTTGGCCTCCCAAAGTGCTGGGATTGCAGGTGTGAGCCACCGTGCCCAGCCTGGTTTTTATATTGTTGGAATCATTTGCTTAAGTGCCTTACATATTAATAAGTTACATTGTTTAAAATAAAATAGCCTAGAGGAAAAAAAACTGTCATATTTCTTTTTTTCTTTCAGTTTTATGTTTTACGTGAACTTAATATCCTTAAGATACAAGTTAAAGCCCCCTAGGTGGACTATGACATTATTTTTTAAATATTTCCTAGGTGAAAAATTTCAATTGGAGTGTTAAAGGGACGAAAATAAGAACAATAATAAAAAATGGGAACAAGACCCATTACCTCTGAAACATGCATGTGACTCATGAGATACATGTAAAAAATTTTTTTTTGAGTTGGAGTCTCACTCTGTTTCCCAGGCTAGAGTATAGTGGCACACTGACAGCTACTGCAGCCTCGACCTGCTGGGCTCAGGCAATCCTTCCACCTCAGCCTTTCAAGGAGCTGGGACTACAGGCACACGCCACCACGCCTGGCTAGTTTTTCCATTTATTGTAGAGAAGAGATCTCACCGAGATGCCCAGGCTGGTCTTGAACCCATGAGCTTAGGTAATCCTCTCACCTCGGTCTCCCAAAGTGCTGGGATTACAGGCGTGAGCTACCATGCCCGGTTCATAATATTTTAATTAACTGTATTTCTTGAACTCTATTATAATTACAGGATAACTTTTGACATACGTAGTCAATACATACATTGTTATACATATGCCATTACCTTTGTTTCCTGTTTGAAAGAGAAAAGAGCTTTGAAGAGACTTCTTGAATGAAGTGGAAAGAATGATGAAAACTGCTTTCGAGAAGACTTCTGTAAATGCCCCCAAAGAATGAAATAAGACCAAATTATATTATGTCTTCTTTTTTGCTGAGTCTGAGTCGCACTCTGTTGCCCAGGCTGAAGTGCAGTGGCACGCTCATGGCCCCCACAACCTCCACCTCCCGGGATCAGGTGATCCTTCCACTTCAACCTTCCAAGTAGCTGGAACCACAGGCATGGACTTGATTTACTGTAGAGACGAGGTCTCAGTGAGTTGTCCAGGCTGATCTAGAACCCCTGGGCTCAAGCAGTCTTCTCCCCTCAGCCTCCCAAAGTGTTGGGATTACAGGAATGAACCACCAAGAGCCCGGCCCCATATTATATTTTTTTTGTCAAAAATAATTTCAAGACTGGGTGTGGTGACTCATGCCTGTCATCCCAGCACTTTGGGAGGCTGACGTGAGAGGATTGCCTGAGCCCAGGGATTCGAGACCAGCCTGCGCAACTTGGTGACAACGTGTCTCTACAATAAGTCAAAAAATTAACCAGGCATGGTAGCATGCTTATAGTTCCAGCTACTCAGAAGGTTGAGACAGAAGGATCACCGGAGCCCAGCAGGTCAAGGCTGCAGTGACTGTGAGTGTGCCACTGTACTCCAGCCTGTGTGACAGAGTGAGACTCTAATTTAAAAAAAAAACAAAAAAACAACTCAGTCTTTTTAGTGTGAGGAAGATTGTTGTTTTCCAATTTTAAAAGCAAGGAGTTTTAAGTTTTTCCACATTTGTTTCGAGCATAAATTACTGAAAGTGGTTGTGTTTTGAGATATTTACATCTCTGTATTTTGAATTTAGATAAAATATTTTGTTTATGTTAGAATTATTAATTATTGTCTATATGTCACAGGTTTATAAGAAATTGCTAGTTTCTCTGCTGTTAGCATAGGCATAATGTTTGGGCATATCGAGAAGATTATAGGCTAGAGAAAAGGTAGGCAGTATTCATATCAACAAATATAATTTGTCAAAACCTTGTTTTAAATGTATGTTTTTACAGTTTTTTTGTCACTTTAATTACAGTGTCAGTGTCATTTACCGTAGTAAGTAGGAGAAAGAACAGAGAAAAGGAATTTTTTGAAAACTCACGTTAGAATAGAAAGGAACAAACCAGAAAAAATAGGAAAGTGGCAAAGTGTCACAGAGAGCCACAGAGAAAAAGAAGCGGGAAGAACTCTCACTAGAAGGAAGAAGGGGTAGAGGACCCCAAACTGGAGTCTGGTCCTGGGCGTGGGGGTGTCGCCCGCCAATCGGAGCCACGCACAGCATCCCCAGCCTCGTGACGGGGACTCGCAGGCATGCAGGTCCTGGGATTCATGCCTCAGGTCTGCTCCTGCTGGCTGAGCCTTGGCTGCTTTTGCTGTAGCCTTTCAGAGGCTGGCAGGCTCTCCATTCCAACCCCGTCTCTTGAGGCTTCCTGGGGGCTGCCCGGAAGTCGCCTTCTAGACAAGAAGACCTCTGGGCTGGCCGCTTCATATCTGGGCTCTTCCAGGTGTTTCTGAGGAGGTGGTGGTGAGTGTGGATCTCCAAATGGACAGGCATTTCAGAACAGGACCTGGGGTTTGGAGCAGTGCGTGCCTGAGCCTCCTCCCTGGGCCGTCGCTGGGTGACCTGTGTTCCCTGCCTCCTCCCAGTGTCTTGACCTGCCGTTGCCTCGGAGTTCAGTTGATGTGAAGCTGTCCTATTTTGTTCATTTTGGGGAATTGTTTGGATATTGCAAGTTTACGTTTTTTTGACTTTTGGGTCGAAAGATCTGAGTTTATGACCAAGATTCAGGGAGTAGCTCTATCTTACCTGTGACTTGATATTAATCAGAATTGCTTAGAAAGCAATTAACTCTCCTTATTCTCTAAATCCCAATTCTTTTTATGCGTTTAATTTATATTATTGAGAGCTAGCTAGTAGTCATTAATCAAGAGAATCTAGCAAATGCCTTTAGAGGCTCAGGTGAATTTAAACCAAGTGCTGACCAGACTTCAGTGAATGCTTCATTGTTTGAACTCTACTTTGTCTTGTTTGATGAAATTAATTTTTTTCTCTAAGAATTTGATGAGCTTTCAAGGTTAGAAGCGTTCTTAGCCATCATTCAATTCACCTCCTTTCCCCGTGCGTGCTAGCTATCGTTATTTGTGACCATGTGTCAAGCCCTTTCCTAAGCACTTAATGCACATCACAGTGTCTTTTCTGGATCAGGCACTATTGGGAATGTAAATTTTCTGAGTCCTCACCCAGCATTTGTGCTACAAATACAGTTACCATTCTTGTTCTTCAGTTGGGGAAGGTGACGGACAGAGACACTAAGTAACTTTCCCAGGGTTCCACAGCTTTTGAGTGGAAGAATCAGGATTCGGACCCGGGCAGGCCAGCTCCAGCCCATTCTCTTAGCCACGTGCCATATTGTCCTGCCTCTTGTAAGACCAACAGCCTCTCTGAATGGGAGCGTGCACTGTGAACTCTGTGGGCAGAATATGTCTACATAGGAAAGGTGGGCTTAGAGCAGGCAGCCCAGAAGCCCCCAGCTGCCAGGGTGAGGGGGCTTGTTTCTGCTGGCGGTGTACTTTCATGTGGCTCTTCCTTCTTTTTACATTTTTCCTTCCTCGGTGCTCCTATGGGGATCTGCAGCTAACGCATGTATTTTGGTCTCCTCTCTCCAGCTCTCCAGGCAGATTTCACACATGTAGTAGAAAGGCATCAAGGTTCAACCCAAGAACAAAAGAGGCAGGCTACTCTGTTAACCCGAGACAGAGGCAAAGGGTCGGACAGAGCTACTGAACTTGGGAGGACATTAGTGAGGTTCTTGTTGATGACCTTTAGGCCTGCAGCCGTGTCATGACCAAAAGTACAACCTCTGGGTTCCGACTAGCTAGGTGTAACCTCTGGCGTTACCATTTAATTGCCCGTGTGATTATAAAACCCGCCTAAGCCTCAGCTTCCTCATCTGCAAAAATGGTCATATGCTGTACGTGTTTTACAAACTGTGAGGGTTAAATGGAAGTTCTAGAAACAGAGTGGTGATGTTTATCGGCTTGGAATTTGAAACACTTCTGGACCCGTCTTGGGACGACATCGTTTTACCTTTAGATCCTTCACATATGTTTTTTTGTTCTTGTTCTACCTGCCTGATCCTGTGTTTGCCAATTTCAAGTCTTCTTGAGCATTTCTGGTCTGCTGATACCCTCTTGGTGTCTTTCCAGTCCATATTTTTTTTAGTGTACTTTTTGGTGGGCCTTTGGAAAGAAAGGAAGGTGCCTTCTTGAACTAGAAGGTGCTCTGTCTGCCATCGGAACCGGAGGTTGTGGGTTTTTTTGTTTGTTTTTTGTTTTTTTGAGTAGGAGTCTCATTCCGTTGCCCAGGCTAGAATGCAGTGGCATGCTCACAGCTACTGCAGCCTTGACCTGCTGGGCTCAGGTGATTCTTCTGCCTCAGCCTTCCAAGTAGCAGGAACCACAGTTGTGTACGCTCATGTATGGCTAATTTTTTTGTTTTGACTTATTGTAGAGACAAGGTCTCACCACGTTGCCTGGGCTGGTCTCAAACCTCTGGACTCAGGCAATCCTCTCACCTTGGCCTCCCAAAGAGCTGGGATTACAGGTGTGAACCACTGCACCTGGTGTAGTTCATTTTTTTGCTATGTTCTATGCTGTCATTTCCTTAACCATTCTGAATTAGGGACTTATTATTGGATATATTTCTAAGCTCTTATCGCCAAAACTTTACCTCTGGTTTAAACAATAATTACTTTTCTATTCCTCTTATTATAGGAGTTGGGCAATCATAAACCAATGAAATGAGGATTTGCGTTGGTTTTCTTGTAATGAGAAAGTGTTTTCC